AAAAATTTTAATTTATAAATGACTTATTGACAAAATAGCAGGTGAATAATTTTTCAATAATATATGTGGTAGGAAGGGCTTAGTTTGCATGGACTACAAGCTTGGTATATAACTGAAATGACCTTTGCTCCCATCCTACTTCCTTAGCCTTCCACAATGTGGCTCCAACATAACTTTCTAATCTTATTTTCTGGTAGGCACCTAACAACTATTGTTCTCCAGGAAATCTGACTGAAAAAATTATAAATGTGAAACTAATTTGTTGAAAGCAGTTTAGAAATTGTCCTAAAGCTACTGAGAGAATGGTGGCAAATATGACTTTGATTGAAATGCCAAGTTCATCAAAACTATAATTTTGTTGTTATTGTGAAGTTTTATTTTAGTATTGGTATAAGAGTGCATCATGAGGTGGCTTTGCAACCCTTAGTCTTTGGTAAATATTTTATTTTTTCCTTTTAAAAAAAATTTAAAACTTTTTTTCTTTTATGTTTCCAATGTATTTTCAGCCAATAATCCCATGATGTATAAACCCAATGTTGATGTCATTGTTCATTATGTAAAATTTGAAAACAATCTAAATATTCAACAGTAAAGGATTTTCAGAGCTAAACACCCTTTATCTTCGTGCAGAGAGATGAAAAGTCAGGAAAACTAATGAAGGGGCCAGGTGCAGTGGCTCACGCCTGTAATCCCAGCACTTTGGGAGGCTGAGGTGGGTGGATCACTTGAAGTTGGGAGCTCAAGACCAGCCTGACCAAAATGGAGAAACCCTGTATCTAATAAAAATGCAAAATTAACCGGGTGTGGTAGCACATGCCTGTAATCCCAACTACTCGGGAGGTTGAGGCAGGAGAATTGCTTGAACCTGGGAGGCGGAGGTTACAATGAACCGAGAACACGGCATTGCATGCCAACCTGGGCAACAGAGCGAGCCTCTATCTCTAAATAAATAAATAAATAAATAAAACTAATGGAGACTATTCTTTCAAGGAGAACAACTGCAATGGCAGAGATAGGTAGTAGCTCTAAGAGGATGGTCTAGAAAGTATTTTTTAAGATAAGTAAATATGTGGTAGAAATTGCCAAAAGGTGGAAAAGCAAAGCTAAATATAACAATTATTTTAAAATTCATAATGTTAATTATGCAAGAAAATTAAAAAGCCTTGGTGGACTGGGTAGAACCTCTTCTCTCTCTCTTTTTGAGACAGAGTCTCATTCTGCCGCCCAGGCTGGAGTGCAGTGGCACAATCTCGGCTCACTGCAACCTCTGCCTCTGGGTTCAAGCAATTCTCTTGCCTCAGCCTCCCGAGTAGCTGGGACTACAGGCGCAGGCTGCCATACCAGGCTAATTTTTTGTAGTTTTTTAGTAGAGACAGGGTTTCACCATGTTGCCCAGGCTGGTTGCGAACTCCTGAGCTCAGACAATCTGCCTGCCTTCGCCTCCCAAAGTGCTGGGATTACAGGCGTGA